ATAGTCAAATGCCGCACAATAATAATTACTTTATCTGAGCTGAGCACTAAGTCAGATAAAAATTCCAAGAATTCAAACAGAGACTTTGAGTAAGGGCCAGGTGGATGATAGATAAGACCAAAAAAACAGGTTTTTGTCTTTTCCAGCTAGGATGGAAGGCTACGTAAGCATATTTATTGATGTAAGCATATATAAAGATATACAGATGATCTGTATAGCATACAGATGTTCTAAATTGCTATACAGACAGGCAGATATACAGATGTACTATGAAAAAATCTAGAGATGTGCTACATATATACCGATGTATCGATGTGTGGTAAACTGATCTACGGAGTGCTATGAATATATGTACAGTAGTGGAAGCATAGTGGTCTGAACAGATTGTAATAGTGAACAGTGTGCGTACTATAACAGAGACTATGCTATGTCAGTGTCCTAAACTCTGTCCTAATATAATAATAATAATAAGGGATTGCATTTATATAGCTCTTTTCTAGGCACCCAAAGCGCTTTACAATTCCGCTATTCATTCACTGTCACATTCACACACTGGTGCAGTCAAACCACAGTTGTAGCCACAGCTGCCCTGGGGCAGACTGACAGAAGCGATGCTGCCATATCGCGCCATCGGCCCCTCTGACCATTAATATATAGTATATATAGTATTGTATAGTACTCTGGTTCTCAAACTGTGCTACGCGTACCGCTAGTGGTACTTGAGCTGTCTCTGGTGGTACGCAGGAAAGCTCCAATTTTTTTTAAAGATTAAATAATATACCATTGTAGAGTTATGCAAAGACAACACAAGAGTTCCCGAGGGTCTTCTGGGAGCTGGAGTCGACCAGAAAATGTTTCCCCGAGCGTGAGTCCTCTATGAAGAGCAGCCGTTCCTTATCGCCAGCGGTTGCAGCCACTACAGAGTGTGGGTGGGCTTGTTTTCCTGGGCCTTAAAACTGCAAAGGTGGAGGACAGCGCCTTGCTGCGGCGCCAAAATGCTGATGGTAAAAACACAGCCATTTTCCTCAACGATGGTGGCCGGGATTGCGGTGCCGCTGTGCCGTGATCCAAACATGTCGTTGGCTGAAATTCCACAGCAAAAATTTAAACCTACAGCTCTGCTATCACGTCCGACATAAATGAAGACAGAAAATGGTAAATGGTCTGTATTTGTATAGCGCTTTACTTGGTCCTAAGGACCCCAAAGCGCTTTACACTATACACAATCATCCACCTATTCACATACACATTCACACACTGGTGATGGCAAGCTACAGTGTAGCCACAGCTGCCCTGGGGAGCACTGACAGAGGCGAAAACTAAACAGCAGTGGCGTTTGTAGGGTTACTGAAGTTGGGCGAGCTGGTATATAATGATGTGCTGTGTGGTGGCTAGCTACACAGCTATGGTTAGCCTAGCATAAACACAGTGAAGCTGGAGCATGAATGCTAACTTTTTTCTACTCAATAAAAGTTAACGTGAGGGTTCCTGATGGTTAGGGACTAATGTAATTGCATGGCAGGATGCTGTAAACTGCAATATAAGGCTAGTCATTAAAAACACTGCTGCATGGGCTGGGCTGCAGTTACATCATTTAAAAACTGAGCTTTAAAATGAATAGTGATGAGAAAATCCGAGACAGGTCCACAGGGATCACTGACTTTTTTTAGGGGCTTGTTCAGATTAATTAGAACAAGATAAAAAGCATTAAAACATGTTAAAAACATAACAGCCTTATTAAACTCAGAGTAGTTTGGACCCGGAAGCAGGTTTCATCAGGTCATCTCTTAAAGATTGGCTATCCCACCTGCTGTGACTGTTTAATGCAGTGCAGTTGTTATCATTATCACTTGTCACATGCTGTTTTTGACAGTTAAAATAAATAACATTCATATAAGAAATAAATTGTCTCATGGAAAATGTATATGGTGTTAAACAGGCCTATGCTACTGTAGTGTAACTCTTTGTAAGACCGAGTCACTCAAAAATAAGCACTGATTTTCAATAATCCTGTAAATAAATGACAAAAGAACCCCAGTGCAATTCAACATAGGTTTTTATTCATTGTTGGTTCATTTTCAATTCATCCTTTGTGGCAGTTGTAGCTGTTGGTTAAGGGGCAGCTTATCGTTGAAAAGCAGCAAGAAGCAAAGCAAGGAGCGTTGAATTCTGCAGAAGTGCTGGATTCTGTAGAAGAGGTAGTAGCAGGGTAAGACGATTTAGGGAAGTCCCAGGCTGCAAGAGAATCAGTAATATATATTATTACATGTGATAGTGCATTCTCTGGTAAATAACTTCTTAGAGATATGTAAATATCAGAGAGTCAAGTGTGTCTAATGTTCAAACCTAGAAAGACAAATATGAGACTCACCCCCTCCCCAGATGAAGATGAAGAACGTGCATCGCGTTCAAGTGCTGAGTCATTCTGTTTAAAAACAAAGATGCAAATGAATTGTTTGGATATGACAAGATAGGAGCACTGACACAGTCTCTGGTTACACAGTTACACACACAGTGCTAGATATATTCATATATTACAGATCACATCACTAGCACAGTCTACAGTCATATTACACTTACAGGATTTGCCAGAGCAAGGCTCAGCAGGCATCCAAGCAGAAACACAACCTTGATCATGGTTTCAGTGATTTCACCTGTTGACAATAATTCTGATGAGATGTGGTCAAAACCATCTGCAAAATCACCATTCAACCAACATTACACTGAAAACAGAGAAGCAATAAGAGATTGATGAGAAATGTTACCGACAGGTCTTCACAACTTCAGCAGAGTGTCTCAGAGATGTGGATGATTGTGGTAATGTTGTACTGACAGCAGAGCTTTTTATACACAGTTGCAAATGATGATTTAATCTCATTTGCGTAATTGTTGGGAAATTGTAATTCTTAGAAAAACTTCTCATCTTAACAAGGGTAAACACAATTAGGCAATAATCAGGGACACACCTGATTAATCTTTTTGCTGCAACACAGTGATGTGAGATTGACCAGGTATGAGTCACATACAAAACTAACTGTTGTTTGTGTATGTTCCTTTAAGTATAATTGTCTACCCTTTAAAATGTAGGGGATAGGTTTTATCTATCTATATACCTAGAAAATAATCAGGTGTTGTATATTTTACCACCGTTCAGGGGTGGGTCTGTGACCCAGCGTTTTGTGTTATTTTGTAATGTTGATTTCTTATGTTAATATTATGTTAAAGTCATGTGGTATTCTTAAGTAAGGGTATAGTTGAGTTATTTTCTATTTTGTATTACTTATGAGACAGTGTTCTAGTTCTAGTATGAAAGTTCTAGTATCATTATTAGTTTGTCTTTGTTTGGTTTGGTCTGGTTTATGTTTTTTCTACGCTTCCTCGTCTATGTAGGTCCCCTTGTGTCTCTCTTCTGTGTCCCTCTTCCTCTCTCACTCCCTCTGTCTCTTTTGTCAAGCTTTCATGTCACAGTTCACGTCTGTCAATACTTCCTGTTTCATTTTGAAAATCTTGTTTCCATGATTAATGTGCTTAGTTCTACTTACCCCCTGTGGCGTCATGGTCATTTGTGTCAGATGTTTCTCCCCAGGTGTTTACGCTTCCCTTATTACCCTTCTGTGTATTTACAT